CCTGTGTGTTCAAGCATGAGAGTCGAGGGTTATGGTTAACAGTTCATGGAGATGATTTCACGCTGTTAGGAGGTGATCATGATCTCGACTGGTTTGAAAATAAAATTAAGGAGGAGTTTGAAGTGAAAGTGAGAGGACGACTTGGACCTGGGAAGGAGGACATGAAAGCGATCAGAATTCTTAACAGGATTGTGGAATGGACCCAGGAAGGATTGAGGTATGAGGCAGATCAGAGGCATGCAGAGATAATCGTGAAAGAGCTTGAGCTAGAAGGAGTAAAGGTGAGGACTGAAGTGCCAGGTGAGCGAATTCCAGTTGAAGAGGGAGATGAGGAAGAACTTTCGCCCAACATGACTAAAAGATATCAAGCGTTGACGGCCAGAGCAAATTACTTAGCTCAGGACAGGTCTGACATACAGTATTCGGTAAAGGAACTCGCTAGGACCATGTCAAAGCCCACGATGAGCTCTTGGAAAGGTTTAGTCAAGTTAGGAAAGTATTTGAAGTACCACAGCAGAAGCGGCTATGTGTATCAATATCAGGAGCAGCCCCAGGAGTTAACCATTTGGACTGACACAGATTACGCAGGATGTAAGCGAACGAGGAAGTCTACGAGTGGGGGAGTAGTGATGTGGGGTAAACATCTCATAAAGTCTTGGAGCACGACTCAGAGTGTAATCGCGTTATCGTCAGGTGAAGCAGAGTATTATGGACTGGTGAAAGGAGGATCAGTGGGTTTAGGACTTCAGGCAGTATTGAGATACTTTAACTTGGAAGTTGAGATTACAGTGAAGAGTGACGCCACAGCTGCGATTGCCATTGCAAGCAGACGAGGCTTGGGGAAGGTAAGACATATCGAGGTATGTCAATTGTGGTTACAGCAGAAAGTTAAGGAGGGAGTGATTCGTATTGTGAAAGTAGGGACACACGAGAATGCAGCAGATGCGTTGACCAAGTATGTCAGTCGTGAAAGCATGAGCACACATCTACGAAACACGAATCAATGTGCATTAACAGGCAGGCATGAGCTTGCACCAGCCACCGAATGTTGACGTACCGAATGTTGATATTCGCAGCTCATTTCTATCAAGCAAACTGCAGCTATTAAAGGCCTTCTCTACCCATCACCTCTTACTCGTGAGCGTGAACGAAGGCATGGCGGCTCCCCAGGTCAACCTCACCATCAACGGCACCATGGTCGACCAGAGCCCGGCTGGGGATGGACCGGTTACGCGTGAGAACCTCAACCGTCGTGTTGACGACATGGTGCACGTTGCCCACGCGTTTACCGTCACCCTCACTAACATGGCGATTAACTTCCACGGAGCCTACGACAAACACGTTGACGAGGTGCAAATGGCCGCGGATGACATGGCGAAGAGGATCGAGGTGTTGACGCGGCAGAACGATGCGCTGATCCAGGACAGTGACGACGTCAACGAGAATCTCCAGAGGGCGCAGAAGGAGATTAACGATCTGATGGCGACGATTACGGACCTGAACATTCAGAATCGCGACTCGGGGGTTAACACGGAGGAGAATGCAACCAAGTATAGGCGCATCAACGACAACATTGGTTACCTCCTGAACACCGCCAAGCGCCTTACCGATAACATCACGCCCCTGCAGGACTTCGAGGGTAAACGTGATGCGGCGCTACGCCTGTTGGTGGCAGTAACGGAGAGGCTGGAAGGATTACAGAGGTTCTGGCATGACCCGATCAACTCCCCGGTTGCCAACATCCCGCAGGTTCCTCCGCCGTTACCCGAGCAGCCCCCAACGGCAGTGGCCGCCAAGGCACCTCCCACTGCAGTCAACGCGGCGGCCGGGGCCAGCCAGCCTCTAGCCCGAGCTGCCGCGGCATCGGGTGCACCTCCGGCTCAGGGCTTTACCGGCACCACGCCCAAGACCGGAGGGTTCGGTCGATCCGTGTCGCCGAATAAGATCCCACAGTCAACGTCACCTCGACCTGTTTACAAGAAGGCACCCAAGGCCATGCATGAGCGTAAGCGGGAATTGGAAGAGTTACTGCAGCTGGGAATGAAGATGGATGAAGATCGTGCACAGGGCAGTCAACGTGACGAAGTAGCAAAAGGCCCTGCCCCGGTGGTGAACGTGAGGGCGCCCAAGCCGCCTCCTCCAGGCCTTGGAGAGTCAGGTGCGTCAAGCAGTGTTAGCGGCATGAATCCCCCGCCTCCGGTGCCCAAGAAGTTATCGACCCAGTATGTTCCTCCACCGCAGCCTCAAGTCGTTAACCGTACGGACGAGCAGCTCGCGGCATACTCGCGGAACATTGCCAGGGGCATGTACCGGCCACTGTATCATGTCAACGGCCGCATGCCTATGGTAAACGACAGGAGCGAGGACCACGACGTCAACTACAAGGTGGAGCCCGACCCCAGGGAGGTAGTCGCATTAACGATGAAGACGCGCGACAACTGGCGCAGGTTCGAAGGCAACTTCGTGGGACATGTGGCAAAAGAGGGGTTAACGACTCCAGGTGGTCGATCTATCCCGGGCAACGCGGGGCGGGAACTCAACGACTACGATGAGGTGTTCGTCGACATTTACGGGCAGCACGCCTACGGCTTCCTTGGTTACGCTGTGTTAAAGGGCCCAAGCAGCTGGAGGTCTCAGTTGACGGAGAAGGAGCTGGAAAAGCACGACGAGTGGGTTGACGCGGTCGGGCACGTACAATCCCTGTTCGACGACGAGTACGTGCCGCCGATTCACGTTAACGATCTCCACCCAGTGTGGTTCGACGTTCACAGCTGCCCAGACACACAGGTCTACGTCAACAAGGCGCCAGAAATGAACGAGAAACAGCTTAATGGCCTTCTGCTAACGTGGGCCGGGATGCTGCCCCACGGGAACCCCACCGTGGTCTCCGTTAAGCACCTAGTGGAAGACACTTACGGACCGCACGGCTACATCTCAACTGGGGTTACTGTGATCAGGTTTGCGACGCACGACCTTGCCAAGCTCTATTGCCGTTACATGAACGGGCTCCAGGTGTATTACCGCAACTACTTCATCGAGGACCTCGAGGTCAGGAGCGCCGAGGAGTTAAAGGGCAGCATCAACAAGCCCCCGGTTTACTGGCACCAGACCATCCTGGAGGTCGCTCTTAACGACCAGGGGTCCATGAGGGCGCTCTACCGTGACAGCTGGCCTGCCGACCACGTCACCGAGCGTAAAAGTGACCATCGCGAGAAGCTCTGTTGGTTTGGGTGGTTGCCGTGTGACGACTTTGCCAACTGGCTTACCGACCCGTACTGGACTGTGAACCCGTTTACTGGAGTTGCGGTCGAGGAGCACCTCCGCAACAATCCAGGTGGTAAGCCTCTGCTCCCCACGCCAGTTACTGGAGGGCCGTCGGTACTTACCACAATATCGTTGACGGGTCCACCGAGAGCTTTGACGAGGGGTGCTGGTTGGACGACGAGGAGCGCATTAACGCGTACCTGGACACCGACTATTACAGCCCGACGCAGGCCCTTAACAGGGTGTCGTCCTATGCGGCGGCCAGCGTGGGGCACCGTGGTCTACCGAAGTCCAGGGGCGCGCGTGCTCCGTCAGTGAGGCGCCCGCGCCGGTCGTAAACGGTGACAGGTGACCGGCATGTCTTTCTTTTACGCTCGCTCTCATCTCCCCTCTCAACCAGGCTTAACAATAGCGTTGCAGTAGACTATTGAGCTGAATCTATTTGCATGTGCATCTTTTATAGTTACCGCAGGTATTGGCGCATAAAAAGCGAAAGCAATCAAAACCATGTAAATGCTAGCCCGCCGTGTGAATTTTGGATGCTACTTTTAAACTCGTAACTGATTGAATGTTTACTTGAGCTCACGTTACATGTCTGAGAGACGTGGTGCTCGTGAACGTGGTTATGAGATATTTCGAATTCGGCAGTGTGACGATACTCACGCAGCCTGTCGCTTGATTAAACCTGTCTTTGTGTTTACAAGCACCTCCCCGTCAGCCAATGCGGACTGGCGTCCGAGGGGGGGGGGTGTTAACATGCAAGCATGCGTGTGACAGGGGAGGAATAGTAACCCCGCTGCCTTTGGCTCAAGTGTTTAACGGTCGAATCCACATCGACCAGTTGTGCCGTTCGGGAGTACAAAGGTGACCTATCGTTATCATTGTCGCCAAGCTCCCGTGCAGAACCCTCCTCGGGGTTTTGCAGGAGGAGGAGGAGGAGGAGGAGGAGGATGAGGAGGAGGAGGAGGAGGACGGCCGTCACATGTGACACTTTTCGCCTTCTTTGTTTGAGGAGCTCTTATTGAAAGCGGTGGGGCCATCTTGGGGCTGTCTTGGCCTCCTGTGGGCCTTAGGGGGCCTCTTGGGCCGTCTTGAGGCCCTCTTAGGCCGTCTAAGGGCTCTCTTGTGCCGTCTTGGGACCCTCTTGGCCATGTGGTGGGTGTCTGGGGGCAGTCTTGGGGCCGTCTTAGGGCCGTCTTGGGCAGTCGAAGGGCCTTTGAGGCCTTCTTGGGTCCCACGGGAGGCCCCGCGGGGCCGTCTTGGGCCGTCTTGGATGCCTTTTGGGCTCTTGTGGGGTCCTCCTGGGATCCTCGTGGGGGCCTCTTGGGACGTCTTGAGGCCATCTCGGATGCTTCTTGGGCGTCTTGGGCTGACGGACGCCCGAATGAACTTTGGCACTGGTTGCTCTTTTGGGTCCTCTTGGAGGCATCCTGGGCTGTCTTGAGTATTCGGCCGCCTTGGTGCCATCTCGGCCCGTTTTCGAGGCATCTTGGGCCATCTTGGCGTCCTTGGTTGCACGTATGGGCCGTCTGGGAAGCTCGGGGTGCGGATCCGTCGTTTTGAACGAGGGATCGTGGCCTCGGGAGCGCGGGCCCATCGTTTCCGGTGAAGGATTCGGGCCTCGGGAGGAGGAGGTGTGGCACGCGACGCTCAGTGGGTAGGCCGGGGGGCTGTTATTGGAATGCAGAGGTCCAACCGAGCAGCACTTAGTGTTGTGACACACCCACCTCGTGCAGGCACGGTGGCGGATTATCTCCCACGCGGGAGCTGGCGCAGCAGATCACGTTAGAGGCAAAGAAGTTCGCGCCCGTGGTTCGATGTCTGGTCGTCTGCCTTTACGGTGGTGTGCCCAAGGACGAGCAGGTCCGCGACCTCAGGTTTGGCGCAGACCTGGTCATTGCGACTCCAGGCCGCCTGCTGGACCTTTCAAAGGGCGACGCGGCGCGTGCCCTCTACCCAGCGATTTCCATGGAGGCGGTGTCGTACCTGGTCCTGGACGAGGCGGATCGCATGCTGGACATGGGCTTCGAGCCCGACATCCGCAGGATCGCCAAGGCCTGCCGGCAGACGGGCAGGCGAGGCGAGGGCTTCGGAGCTGGAGGAGCCCAGGCGGGAGCCCGCCGCCAGACGCTCTTCTTCACGGCAACCTGGCCTGCGGCCGTGCAGCGGGCCGCCGCTGCCTTCACCAGCAAGAGCGCCGTGCAGATCCGGATCGGTCAGGGCAGCGACGGGAAGCAGGTCACGGCCAACTCGAGCGTGACCCAGACGGTGCTGGTGATCCCCGAGGAGGAGAAGCTGAGCCGGCTGAAACAGATCCTCGAGACGGAGCTGCGCCCCGGCGAGACCGCGATTGTCTTCGCCACGCGGAAGACTACGTGCGATCAGTTGGAGGAGATGCTTAAGAGTGCGACCGTGAGCAGCAACAGCGGGGTGCGAGATCCGGCCCATCCATGGGTCAAGACCATGGGGCCGGTCCCACTTTGCGCATGGGTCCGGGCCATCCATGGCGACCGGGAGCAGTGGGAGCGCGAGCAGAACCTCAACGCATTCCGCTCGATGACAACCAAGCCACAGGCACACAGGAAGGCTGTTCTGGTCGCGACCGACGTGGCATCGCGGGGCTTGGACATTCCTGGTGTCGCCTTAGTGGTGGTTTTTGATTTCGGTGGGGAGGCCGATCGTCCTGGTGTGGATTCGTATGTGCACCGCATTGGACGCACGGGACGGGCGGGAAGGACTGGCAAGTCATTCACCTTCTTCACACCAGAGGATGCAGGGGCGGGCGCTTTCGTTCAGCTGCTGCGGAATGCTCAGCAGGAGGTTCCAGCCGAGCTCGACGCCCTGGTGAAGCAGGAGGCGTCCTGGGGCGATCCGAAGTGGTGGAAAAGGTCGGGTGGCGGTGGCAAGGGTAAGCTGGAGAAGGGTTACGTCCCCTCCAGTGGGAGGCGGCATCGCTGATTCAGGTCATGAGGCGAGCTCTGGAGGACTCAAGGTGGTTTCGGAAAATGGCGCCGCGGACTTCTGTTGCTCTGCCGCAGAGAACCCCAACTGCTTTGTCTGGTTGGCCGTCAGACGCTATCAAGACATCATTGTGCAGGTCCTCACCATCTAAAGAGTTATCAGGCTCCCGTGTACAACCGTACAAATTCTAGACAGGACTTATGGGGTTCAGTCTAGGGCTCGTGGGCTCCATGGGTTCCACATGTTTCGCAGGTTCCAGAGGCTATAAGTGTTCCAGGGGCCTCAGCGGCCGTGGGTTTCGGGGCGCCTTCCATGGATTCCGAGTTCCAGTGGCTCCAAGGGGTCATGGGTGTGGCATGAAACGCACCATGGGCGTTTCGCTTGAGACTTCCGCCTGGGCGTTTCGCTTGACGTACTCATCGGTGATCCCAGTTCGTTCCTATCAGATGCTTTTCTTTGTTATCAAGCGAGGCCGCGTGGGCTGCGGTGCGAGGGGCGAGCAGCTGGCTCCTGTGGGACAGGCTGCGGGCTGTGCCTTGCGATTCTCGACCCCGAGGGGGCCCCGACCCCCCGACCCAGGGGAAGGGAGGCGGAGGAGGAGGAGGAGGAGGAGGAGGAGGAGGAGGAGGAGGAGGAGGAGGAGGAGGAGGAGGAGGAGGAGGAGGTAGTTGTCGGCCCATAGTGCCGTTTTCGAGCCCCCCCCCCCCTGGAGGTCCAGAAAAAGTTAGAGGTCGATTCCGAGCTTGCTTTCGATCCCAGTCCGGTTCGGCCAGTTCGGTTCGAGGACTGGTTCTCGGTCCTCGGCCGGGTTCGCGGCCATCATGGTTTCGTGGCCAGTCGTCGCCGTCGTGCGAGATTTCGATTCCGACTTCGCTTCCGGCGCGGCAGAATCAATTCCGGTTCCGGTCCGAAGGGCTGGTGGGTTTCCGATTCGGGTCCGATTTGTTGCGCAGTTTTCCGGTGGTTCCCGATCCGGTATGTCGCCGATCCGATTTGGAGTTTCCGATCCGGTGTAGGGTTGGCGTGGAGGCCCCCGCAAGATAGCCCCGAGACGCGGCCATAGACGCGCCCAAGACGCCCCAAGAGAGCTCCGAGCCGGCCCCAAGAGGGCCCCAAACTTACAACAAATTTAGCACAAACAGCTTCCTCGTCAAGTACGGCGTTGTGTTAAATTTGTGTCAACTTGTTGGGGCTCTGGCGCCGCTCTGGGAGCTCCCTTGACGCCCTGTCGGGCCCTCCCAGGCCGTCCTCTGGAGCTCTCTTGGGTGCTTTTTGGGAGTTTCAGGGGGGCCCCAGGAGTCCTCCGGAGGCCCTGGAGGCCCTCAGAGAGGCCGCCAGAGGCCCTGGACCCCAGAACGTGCAATCGTTTTCATATCACGTCCACAGACGACGGCCACCACCGCCACTACGACGACCACTGCGACGATTATCACGACGGCGGGGGCGGCTGCGGCGGTGGCGCTCGCGGGGGCGGCGGCGGCGTTCTGGCAGCCCATAGCCTTTGGGGCCCTCCTCGGCCACATTGGCAGTCACGCCATTTGCGCAATCTGCACGTCGATCTCGCACGGCTCCGTGACCGCCCATCAAGATTGACGCTATACCTCAGAAGGCCCACCACTTTCACGCGCCAAGGGCGGCTCATGCCTGGGAAACCTGTCCCTGGGTATCTTGGGCTTCGTGGGTCAGCGCAAGGTCTACTGACAACAACTGCGCAATCGGCTAGAACCTAGGCGCGCGCATCGCGCGCGCGCGTGGTTGTAGTATACACATATGTAGATGCTATATGTGATGTGTATGTATGTACGGATGTATGTTTGCCTTGGTGTATGCATGTATGTATGTATGTATGTATGTATGTATGTATGTATGTATGTATGAATGTATGTATGTATGTATGTATGTATGTATGTATGTATGTATGTATGTATGTATGTATGCATGCATGTATGTATGTATGTATGTATGTATGTATGTATGTATGTATGTATGTATGCATGCATGCATGCATGCATGCATGCATGCATGCATGCATGCATGCATGCATGTATATATTTGTATATATATATCCTATGCGTGCATGTCTTTCCTCGTCCCGTCACGGGTCCAGGCCGTCGATGTTAGATCGCTTCCGTGGGGTTTTGGGCTCAAGAATTCGCACCAAGGCAGTGCGTATGGATTACCTGCTCCCTGCCGCCCAGTACGCTTGGCAGGGAGCGCTCGCATATCTCTGGGGCGGCAACCTGCAGAGGTGCCCGTCCGTCCACGTCCCCGCCTGTCCTGCCATACCGAGCTGTGTGTGCCCGCCGTGCCCAGGCTGCCCGGCGTGCCCAGGGGGCTCCTCCGCTCCCGCCACGCCCTCGGCGAACGGCGGGGGCAGCGGTGAGCCGAGGCAGCCCTTCTCCTTCTGGTGCGTGGTGCTGGTGAACGAGCTCCTCCTGCTGGGCCTGGCGCTGACCTACGGCATCTTGTCGTGGAGCCGAGTCGGGTTGACGTGCTGCCGACGCAATGCTGGCCGTGCAGAACGTGGGGCCAGCGGAAGCAGCGCCTCATGGGATGCTCCAGTGGGCGTGGGTACGCTACGAAGGAGAGCCATTGTGGCACCAGCGTCTGATCTTAGGGCGGCGGGTCCGGACACCACTGGAGAGAATCACTGATTGGATGGTGCTTATCTGTACAGTGGACACTGACATCTATGAGGAGGACTACTCATGCCAGGGAAGGGACATCATTGCTGTGAGGTTCACATCAGATCGTGCAACCTTCCCAGCTGGTGTTGGGGCCGCCAACTCGTACAGGTTCAGGCGGGACCTCACCGTGGTGGAGATGCAGCAGATTGACCAGACCGCGCTGGACTACTGCACCTCCGCCCTGGTGGCCGACCACCAACGCCTGCGGCTGCCCGCGCCCGGGGGGCCGTTCTTCGTGCCGCTGACCTTCGGCCCTGCAGGGGGCGGTGGCCCGGGGGCGGGCGCCGCGCCGGCCGCCGCAGGCGCCGCGCCCCCAGTGGCCGCCGCGCTGGCCGCCCCAGTGGCGGTGCCCGCCGGCGCCCTGGCGGCGCCTCCCCCTGCAGGCGGAGCGGTTCCAGGCGGCGCGGCCGCGGCTGGGCCGGGGGCCGCAGCCCCGGCGGCCGAGGCAGCGGTGTGGGTGCTGGTCGAGTCGACCACGGCGGGCCGGCGTGGGACGGTGGTGATCCCGCCCGCCGGCTCGGACCTCCGTGGGGCCGTCGGCTTGATGCCTCAGGCGGACGGGACGTGGGTGGCCATCCGATCGATCTCCGAGGCTGCGCAGACCTACGCGGGGCGAGAGGCCGCCTCCGACGCCAGGCTGATGAGCATCGTCGCCAACCCAGCGGTTCCGGGCGGCAGGCTCTTGAGGCAGTGTCGGCGACTACGAGGCGAGTGTGCGGGCCATCTACGCCCTCGCCTGCTGGGGCGGCCTTGACTTGCCGAACCTGGCGGGGGCAGAGCAGATGTTCAGGAAGTGCCAGATGTACGAGTACGTGTACGTCATGGACCGTGACCCTCACCACAGTGCGTCTTCCGGCGGAGACGGAGGCGGCGAGGGGAACGACAAGAATAGCCGAGGCCGTGGGCGAGGCGGCGGACGCCATGGCCTGTTGAGCTCCGGGTTCATCGACGAGAGCGCCGTCTTCACGGGTCTCAGTCGTGACCGCGGGGGGAGCATGATCTGCCCTCTGCTCCTCGAGCACGTGGCGAAGGAGGTGGAGAGGGATGCTTCAGTGCTGAAGCAGGTTCGCAAGGCCCGCGAGGGGCAGCGGGCCTTGCGATCATGACGAGTTCACGACCACGCGTGCCGCTACCCCTCGGCGGTGCGCGCGTTTTCGGAGGGGGGCCCAGCGGCGGTGGCCCGCCGCCCGCTGGTGATTTGTACTCATCGGGCAATCGGGCTGGGCGACAGCGTGATCTATTTCCACTGCCAGTGCCCGGTCAACAGCGTCGGGCAGCTTCGGAGGCGCATGGCATCGCTTGTACACGTTCGGTGGCGCGCCGGGGTCTCCGCAAGGGCCGCGCCAATTCGGTTGAGGGCAAGATCGTTCGGACCCTCAACGAGCTGTGCCTTGGCCAGCCCTCGCACCCCGTCGGCCATCCTCAGTCCATCACTGCGGGCCAGCAGCGGGCCTTGGGCAACGTGCGCGATGCAGTCCGACGGTTCGGCGCCCCCCCGGAGGGATTGACTGGCTCAGTGGCCTTTGGGGAGCTCCGAGTTCTCAGCGACTATGCTGGCGAGAGCGCCACCGTCGCTCCGCTCGACTTTGATAATATCAACAGCCTCTCTCTCCCTGACGAGGGCTTCGAGCCAGTGCCGCTTGACGCGCTGGGGGGAGATGCGGCTTCATGATATGATGTTGTCCCAGTCTGAGGGTCGAGCTCGGATCGAGTCCGAGGGCCCCCGGAAGCTCTGCGCCGACCCGGCGCCGAGGAACCCCGAGCTGTATGTCCAGCTGCTGCGGGCCCTCGAGCGTCGGAACCTTTTCCATTTTTAAAGCGACAAGTGTTGCAGCGTAGGTGTCTTTTTTCGTTTACAAGAAGTCGGGTCAGCTGCGGCTCATCCTGGGCGGCAGGCGCGCATCCCTGCACTTCCAGGTCCCCGACAAGGTCGCTCTCGCGTCGGGGGTGACCTTCGCCGGCCTCCACCTGGACGGGGGAAAGCCCACCGCGGTGGCGGAGGTCGACCTGGCGGATGCGTTCTACACGATGCTGCTGCCGCCGAAGTTCAGGAGGTACTTCGCGCTGCCTGGCTGCCGCGCTGGGATGCTGGGCCTCGAGAGCACCGCGGGCGGGCGGCGCCTGGCCGGGGCCGACCTGGTATACCCGTGCTTCAGGTGCCCCCCGATGGGCTGCTCCTTCAGCCTGTGGATCTGCCAGGCGATGCTGGAGGGGGTGGCCCTGAAGGTGCCCCAGCTGTCCCTCGCGAACCGCTTCGTTGACCGCCGGCCGCTGCCGCAG